TCTTCTTCTTCTTCTTCTTCTTCTTCTTCTTCTTCTTCTTCTTCTTCTTCTTCTTCTTCTTCTTCTTCGAGACAGGGTTTCTCTGTGTAGCTTTGTGCCTTTTTCCTGGAAGTCACTTGGTAGTCCAGGCTGGCCTCGAACTCACAGAGATCTGCCTGGCTCTGCCTCCCAAGTGCTGGGATTAAAGGGGTGTGCCACCACCGCCCGGCTGCTAACTCCTCTTTTATGCCATGGGAAGACATTCCATGTAAGGTGGTGGGTGTTCCAAGTTCCAGTATTACCAGTTTCCGAGTGACTCTCTTCCCCATCTGGGCATGGGGGAGGTCAGGGCCCCTCACAGTTGTTGAGCTGCATGCCCAGCTTTGACCACTTGTGAGCACAGGCAGAACAAAGCCCACTCATCTCCATCTGTCTGTCTGTCTGTCCATCTGTGACTCTGGAGGAAGCTTGGTTGTAAAGACAGAAGACTAATGCAACCTGGGCCCCTGAGCCCAGGGGAGGAGAGATGCATTGAAGAGGCACTGTTTCATCCCAGGGCCATGGTTGTGCTACTGCACCAGCATGTGGGACACAGCCCAGCTCCTTCTCATGCACAAATCAATGACAGCATGCCACAGTGCTGTCACACCTCTGTCACCATCGGTGACTTCCTGTCCTCCCCCTGTGCTTTTCTCATGGTTTGAGTGTGAGATGACCCCCAGTAGGATCCTGTGTTGAATGTCTTCATACCCTCGGCTAGTGGTGCTGTTTGGGAAGGCTGTGGCATCTTTAAGAAGTTAGAGCTTTGGGGGAAGAAGTGGGTCCCTGGGCCTGAGCCTTACAATTTTATAGTGAGAGTCCTGTCTGTTCAGTCTCTGCTTCTAGACTGTGGAGGCCACAGCATCTTTCTAGGGTCTGTCTGAAGCCTAGGTTCCTCCTTGTGCCCCAGGACTGGGCATCTTGTCCAAGCCTTCAGAAAGGATTTAATGCTTTGTGCACCTCAGGATAATTGTTCGTGTGTGTGTGTGTGTGTGTGTGTGTGTGTGTGTGTGTGTGTGTGTGTGCACATGCATATGTTCATGAGCGTGCATGCAGAGGCCAGAGGACAACTTCAGGAGTTGTTGCTCAAGTGCTATCCATCTTGTTTGTTGAGACAGTGTCTACCATTGATGTGGAACTTTCCAGGTAGACTAGACTGGCTGGCGAGTGAGCCCTAGGCACCCCTCTGCCTCCCCAGTGCTGGGACTACCGGTGTACACCACACCTTTTAGTGGGTCCCAAGGGATTAGGTCCTCATGCTCCTAAGACACTCACTTTGTTTTACAAACTTTGCCATCTCCCAAAGTTCTCCTCCAAAGGAAAAAAAATTACTCTGTACTTTTTAAAGCTGTGTATAAAAAATCATGTTTAAAACTAGCTATTAAGGAGTCGGAAGAACTCAGGATGAGGGATATAGCTAATATTAAGACTCTGATTGGTGAATACTGAAGAAAAGCTCAGGGATATGTCCAGGTAGACAAGGTAAGGGTTCAGATGCACTGGTCTTCCATGTCCTCTATGGCTATTTGAACTCTCTACAACAGTACAGTTGAGCAGTCACAATGGGACCAACAGGCTGGTAACGAGACCCAAGACAAGATGGGCGGCTTCCAAACTGGGGCATGCACAAGAAATACCGGGTTGTTAAAGTGAATTAAAACACAGATTTCTGGCTCCTGTCTCAGAGTTCCTGACTCGGTATGCCTGTCTGGCTTCTGTCCAGGCCTAGGGGAAGCTGATGGCACCTGCCTGGAAACCACATTTGTAGTATCGCAGGACCAGAGATCATAGTTTACAAAATGTACTCTTGTGACAGACTCTAATGGAACAGAGAGTGTACGTATTTTTCTTAGGCTGCTCTCCAATATCCAGGACAGGAGAGGATGGAAGAGGCCCAGGTACTACTTCTTCTGTGGATGTTAGGTGCAGTTATAACAAAAAAATTGTTGAGGGGACTAGTCCATAGTTACACAGAACGCAGGCCCCAGGGCTTCCGTGATTGAGTTCATGCAGAACATGTGTTTGGAGAACTCCATGAACAAAGTTGGCTCTAAAACAAGCCCTTTATTTATTGGGGTGTGGGAATCTTGTAAATCTCTTGCACCCAAGGCAAAAGGCTCCCTGGGTATACTCAGCAGGTCCCAGCTTGCGATTCTGTAATTACTGAATTCCAGTTGAGTGCTGTAATCCACCTGCAGTACATCTTTCTGACGAGGATCAGCTATTTCACCCTGGGAAGGAGTTTCAGGGACACGACAGAAATCAATGGTGGACAGTCTTGTTTCACGGCTGTTACTCACTCTCTCTCTCCCTCCCTCCACCTTCCTCACCCCATTTATTCCTTGGGACATTAGCTAATTTGTGCAGGAATTTTTACAGCAGAAACTCAAGCAGGAAAGACTGTAGGTGGATGCAGAGAGGAGCTGAACTGCCTACAGAGCTTGTACTGAAATCCAGCTGTTGAGGGAGAAGGCCGGAGTTGAGCCTGGCACTGTGGTGTTGGGACAGGAACTTTAGGGGTGAGAGTCACGCTTTTGTTGGGAGTTTCTAAAACTCCTTCCACACAGACAGGAGCATGAAATGATGGAGAGGTATTTCTGGTCCCTACCCTCGTGTACCCATCAGGCTTGGCCTTCTTTCAGACAGAGCATGAGGAGACAGCTCTTTAGACATTGCCAATAATGTCTGGGCTTCATTCTCTCTCTCTCTCTCTCTCTCTCTCTCTCTCTCTCTCTCTCTCTCTCTCTCTCTCTGTTTTATTTTGCTTTGAATTTTGTGTATGTGGACATGAGTACAGTGGCTGTGGAGGCCAGAAGAAGGAGTCAGCTGCCCTGGAGCTGGAGTCATAGACAGTTGTGGGCTCCCCGGTGTGGACACTAAGAACCAAACTCAGGTCTTCTACAGGAGCAGCAAGCACTCTTAACCCCTTAATCTCCCAGCCCCTCTTCCCCTTGTCTGCCTCTTGAACCTGTTGCCTTCCAGGCCCTCGTGGAAACCTGCTATTGTCTCCAGGGGGATCTCCATAACAGCTCCTTCCTGATGTAGAAGTTGGCTCAGCCGTATTGATCACACGGCAGCTGTGCTGTCCACGAGGAGGATGGCTGACATGGTCCAAAGTCGAAGAGGTTAGTGCCATTTTTTTTTTCTTTTTTCTGAAAAGCTTTCCCCACCTCCTGATTGGGGTTGTCCACGTGTCTCTCTGAGCATCCAGAACACTTCTCCATTGGGGCCCTTTTCCCTTAAGTAGGATTACCAGATCACATGCTTGTCTTCACCTGTGAACTCTACACCCCTTTATATCACTTATTTAAAAACATGCCAAAGCCCGGCATGGCAGTGCCCACCTGTAATCACAGGCCTCAGGAAGCTGAGGTTCCGAATTCAGGATCAACCGGGGCTGTATGGTGATTTCAAGTTCAGCCTGGGCGTTAAATAGCAAGATTCTGTCGGGATGAAAACAAATCAATAAACAGAAATAAAAGTACTCAGTAAGTCTTCTCTTCACAGCGCTTAACAGCTAATACATCGAGCGATCCTCAGAGTAACCTTACGAGGTGGGCACTGTAATGAAACTCATCTTGTAGACACAAAGCCTCGGCACAAGGTTGTGTAGTGTGGTTCCCGGTTGGCTCAGATTTCACAGAAGCCAGATTTGGTGCTCCTGAGTTGCTGGCACTTGGGCTCCAGGGTCTCTGCTGCCGCCAGGTGAGGAGAGGATTCAGGTCCCCCTCCTCTAAAAATCTATAGCTTCTAATAGCAGCCCCAGAACAAGGCAATCCATTAGCAGATGGTTTTGAGAAACAGAACATAAGGTCTATTTATTACAGAGGGAAGGAAAGAATGATCATTCTGGAACCAGCCCCTCTATTTCCCACTTAATGAAATCTGCGCTGCACTAATTTATTATGTTATTTGTTTCTGAACTCATTTCCCTAAGGAAAAGATACATGTGTGTGTGCATGCAGCAAACATCCTTTGTAGTTCACTGCTGTGGGGCGGTCTGTATGTCAAATTGCTCTGATTGGTCAATAAATAAAACACTGGTTGGCCAGTGGCCAGGCAGGAAGTAGGTAGGACAAGGAGAGAGGAGAATTCTGGGAAGTGGAAGGCTGATGCGGAGAGACACTGCAGCCGCCGCCATGACCAGCAGCATGTGAAGATGCTGGTAAGC